CTCCTGGACAATTGCCGTTTCTTCAAAGCAACAGTCAAACAATGAGCAGTGATATCTCGCAAATGGCAAAATCGTCTTCATCTTTTCCATCTGGTGGACCGCAACTATCACAGACTAATTCTTTTCAAACTGCCATCCATGGACCATTGGGACCTGTGCAACATTTTCCGGAGACTTTTCCACCCTCATTTTCAGGGCCCATAACAGTACCTCCACCATTAACACCCATGCAATTTCCCCCTCCTTTGCCAGGCAATTTGTCAGTACCAACGGTGGCTTTGGCAGCATGTTCTGCTAATCAACCTCAGGTGAATGCAGGAGTTACAGCACAAGAGACAACAAGCCAAGGGTGGATTAATCAGTTTTTAAGAGAAAGAGGACTTGTGAAACAGGAAAAACAAGCAGAGCCACACAGCCATTTAAAGGTTTACCTTTTTTAACTTTTAAAACCTCTTTCACAGGTGATAAAGGAGTCATTTTCTTTACATATGATTCCTCAAAGAAAATGAAAACTTTCATTTGAATGTTGGCGAAGACTGGGAAGCATTCACGTAGATTGTTTGGTTGTAGAAAGTGTACTTTTCTTGATTTGAGTAGGTTTATAAGGATCTTGGCTCATGCTCTCCTTTGGATTCACCCTGTAGCATTGAGTGATTGTCAAAACAATGAGCCTTTGTTATGGTGGTTGTGTAAGATACCTTTCTGGGATTCAGTCTTGAGATTTTACACATTTATACTTTCATCTTCAAGTGAAAAACAATTTCCATGGGACTAAATTACACTTGCAAAAGTTTTATCAAATTGACCCCAGGTGTCATTGGTTAATAATTAACCCAACAACACCCAGACAGTACCAGCATCCTACATGTATCTTGGAGGCAAAAGCTTGTGAATTCTTAACCCTGGATTGTAAAGAAAGGCGTCCTCTGCAGGAGGTATTAATATTCTTTGCTTATTGTTTTGTTCTTTTATATTTTTTGCAGTTATATGAAGCTAAACAGCTCATGACAGATTGGCTGCAGCTAATTGCAGAGTTGTCACTTCAGAGAGATAAATTGGCTGCACTTGCTTCACATCACAATGAAATGGAATGGGTAAAAGAAATAAACAGGGCTCAAACATTAAAGGTCAGTAACTAAAAGGATACATTGAAACCTTGAGGAATAATACCCCACCCTTTATCATAGCTCCTGCGGAGATACCAGAAAATGTAGTTGCTTGCGAAAGGTCAAGGATAACCAAAATCTGACATTTTAAATAAGGCAGAATCTAATAGAGCAAATTTAGAGCTCAATGAAACCGTGAACCGCTAATAGCATGTAGCCTTTTTATAGTCCCTGCTTAATAAAGCATTATAAAGTCTTAAGAACAAAGAATGCTACACCAAAGGAGGAAGCATCTTAATTTCATCCCGTCATCGGCATGTGAAAACTGAACAGTGTGGCAGAGAGTACATTTGTTGATGTAAGATCTTAAAGAGAAGTGTTCATCTAGAGAAGTCCAGTTATAATGGTGGTTTTTAGAGGAAAATTGCCATCTTGAATTCTCAGCTGACCAGAAATTAGTTGCCATTCTACAAAGCAAAGGTTTAAAGCTTGATGCTAGACTGAGTAAAGTAAGCGACCCTTAGGTTGTAAAGCTACTGAAGCAGAAAGCTCTGCTGTGCCCTTTCACAGTCAATACCCCCTCATCTTCATTGACTATAATATAAAATTTTCTTTGTTAATAATGTTTAATTATTTTGACACCACCATTACCACTGCTGTCATCATCATCATCATCATCACCATCATCATTATTGTTAATGTCATTATCATCATCATCATCATCATCATCTAGAGCGGTCACCATCCTTCTTTTGCAGTAATTGGGCCGGTATTCCCTGTTTATGTTTGTCTTGTTTAAAAACCTTTACAAAATCTTATCAAGAAACTTTTTTTCTTCTGTAGGCTAGGATTGAACAGATTCAAGCTCAGTTCTCCTCCTCTGAAGAAATTAATCATCTAGAACAACAAGCAGTGAAAAGAAAGAAAAAACGGGTGAGATGAAGATGAACTCAGTTGGTTTTATTTGGAAGGCTACCATATTACACTACAATTTCACTTGGTTTGCTAATAGGATAAGTTGGTTATTTTTTAGGAGTGGCAGAAAAAGAGAAGAAAAGAAGAGCATGTGCTGAAAAAGGAAGCTGAGGACAGAAAGAAGGTTCTGCATGAGAAAATTGATGAATGGAGGTCACAAATAATAGCAGAGGATCAAGCCAAACGAAGAGTAATCAATTTACTGTTACTTTTTTATGTTTGTTCACCTTTTTAATAGTTTTTCTCTTCCCCTGTGCCGGGTGTCCTCTGCCTGATGTTAAATTTCATTTCTAAAAGGGAAGTAAACCATGTGAAAGGATCATCAAAGAGTTTTCACATGGCAGCGTGCAAAGACCGTCGTGTCTGATAGCCTGGGGCTAGTGGATTTTGCTATCGGGTTAGTTATTTTTGTTCTTCACTTGCCCGATGGGCAAATGCTATTTTTTTGGGGAAATTCAAATTACAGGAGGATTGTAATCAATCCTGCTAATCAAAAAGGGTTTTGGGGCTAGTTGAAATGACTTGTGGGCTAGTACATGCTAACTATAGCTTGCCCGAATGGCAGGCTGTAAAACTCACTTTCTTTGCACCCTGCATGGAGAGTCACACCATGAGGTTTCATCCTCAGACTCAAAAATTTCAATCAGGCATAGCAGAGCGAGCAAACTACAAGAGCGCATTTGAAAATTGCCAGCCAATGGGGAAGCAACAAGTGGAGGAAAGAGAGAAAGTATTTTGCATGCTCGGCTATTATCCTTGAGCTTTTGAACAAAAAAAAAACTGAGTGTAAATCCATCTTTTCAAAACAGCAACAACAACAACAACAAAATACACTTAATGAACTACTGCGTTATATTAGCCTAGACATACGCGTTAATTTCCTTCTAAATGCATTTATAGGCCGAGTTGATGAAACATGAAGCAGGTGGAGTACTGGGAGAAGTGAAAAGGAAACAAACAGAAGCTACAAAAGCTCTTGACCTCTTAAAGGCGTTGAGAAAGCTACGGGAGGCCAGAAAACAAGAAGCTGAAGTAAAAGGTGATTAGTNGGTGGAGTACTGGGAGAAGTGAAAAGGAAACAAACAGAAGCTACAAAAGCTCTTGACCTCTTAAAGGCGTTGAGAAAGCTACGGGAGGCCAGAAAACAAGAAGCTGAAGTAAAAGGTGATTAGTACAACAATGTATAAGAATATGCTTCATTCAGAAATGCTTGATGATTGGCTATCCAGTGGACAAGTGTTAGGTAACTGAGTTAGACACTGGATAGGGATTCATCAAGTAGGTACCACTGTCCACAGAGTACCCTGTGAACAATACGACCGTGTTTTACCGAGTAGCACCAAGTCTTGACAACATTTCAGAATGAGAGAGCGTCGCGAATAGGATTCGTGGGAAGTTTTCGTTCTCTCTTCGCAAAGAATTAAGTTGGAGAGTTTTAAGGTTAATTTAACCCGTTATCACGCAAAAAAACAATGCGCCAGTAAAGTGCTGAGACTTCACGTCCTACTAGAAGTGGCATCATCAGAAACCAATCTCCAAGCATTATTCGGCCTTTCTTGCAGGGCTTTTATCAAGGGAGAAGCTCGAAACAATTTTCAGGGCGAAAGCGTGTCCGTTTGGAAAGTTTGCTTTGCTTTTTGAGATACCAAAACTAAAAAGAAAACAGGCAGGCCATAAAGACAAGTTCACTTTAAAGCTCATTGTGAAGCATTCTTTTAGAGAAAGTTTAGCTGCTATTTTTCAGGAAGGACGAATGTCGCCGCCAGTCTCTATTTAAACGCTTTCTCTTGCTTTTTTTCTTTTGATCTAGGCGTTTATGTCAAGCCTACTGAAGAAGAAAATCGAAAGTTTGATGAAAGAGTGAAATGGCTGGAGAATGTGATGGCCCCAAGACGAGAACTATACGAGGCGGAAGAAAAGACACTGAGAGTCATGCTAGCTGAGGAGGAGGAAGAGAAAGAGAAAGAACGACGGGAAAATGAAAGAAAAAATCAAGGTACTGGTCCTTCTAGCTTTAGTAGGCGTGTGTATACTTGAAAAGATATTATTTACCTATATATTTCGGTACCTTACTTGGAATACACAGATTCCAGAATAAAAAACAAACGGTAGTTAACAGTCCTTGACTAAAGCAAAAGGACAGACGAAGATACATGTACAGACAAAAAATGCTACTTCAGTGGAGCAAATTAAAAAAAAAATGGTCACAAGTTAGGATTAACTGGAAGAATGAAAGATGGCAAATTTTAAGCTCGGTGCAGGGGAAACAAATGTGAAAGTGAAATGATCAGCATGTCACGAGCGTGGAACAAGGAAAAAATCTGAGTCCCCGACAGGATTCGAAGAGAAAGAGAGGGAGGTCATAGGTTCGAATCCTGTCGGGGTTTCAGATTTTTTCTTTGTCCCACGCTCGTGACATGCTAATCATTTCACTTTCACAAGTTAGCATTACTTTGTAGACCAGCAAACTGTAAACGAACCGATCAAAACCGAAGTGAAGGTCGACCTGATCTATCATTAGGCGACATCATCGGAGAACGGAAAAAAAAACAATAGTTATAGATCAGCAAAACAACAACTCTGCAATTTTTTTGTACATTTCCTTGCCGTCACTGCACGACTACGAGGTGCAAATCCCTAAACTCACGTTTTGTGGTTGACGTGAACACGAGACAAAGACTTTCTTTTTCTTTTCCTGAACTTCGATACAGTTCCTTAAAATTCAACTCCAGAAAAATTTGCCAACATTTTACTAATCGATCGAGATGGAATAAGTGCGATAAAGTTTGAATCAGCGCGAATTCAGTATTCAAGTGACGTTATCGTCTTCGTTGCTTAAGCTACCTATTTATAATTGTCACTTCTGTCATTACAGGCTGCAGCTGCACTCCAATTATGTACAGTTTGCTCGCTTACGTAGCTATAAACAGTGCCCGTATCTTATTGAGTATTATCCGAGGCGGAAATCAGGGCTTTAAGCATTAATTCTCAAAATATTTTTTCTCGCTTACAATGTACACTCACTTGTTCTCTTTCTTTCGTCCAGCATCTCTAGGATTGTCTGACCCAATGGACTGGTTTCGCAGCTATTACAAACAAGGCGAACACAGTGTACAGTCCTTGCTGCAAATAAGGTACTGCCACCAAAAATGTACCTTTATATGTCGTAGATAAAATAATTTCTCAAGTCAAACCAGTGTTCAACCTAGTTTGCCCGCAACCGGCAACGGCTTAACTGTCCGTAGGTTTATCTGTACTTTTATTTCCTGCTTTAGTTTAGTCTCCTGTTTTACTTTCTGTCAACCTCGTATTTCCAGCCTATTCTTTCGTGGTAAAAATTTAGAAAAAGCTCTCTTTCTATATTTGTCCGTCATTTTTAAAGTTTTCGAAAAAATAAACAACGCCAACATTGTAATGTTAGCTGACTTAGCCAGGGAAAGTGCTAGGACGTTTAACCTGTAGGTAATCGTGACTTCAGTGATGGAATTGTATGCAAGATGCCGTGCCATGCATGTTGTTGACAGTGTTGATAGAAGAAACTGCCTGTGATTCTTACGTGTAAATTTTGCTTCTTTTTTTTTTTGCGAATTCATGAAGTGTGTTGTAAAAGTGACGAATGTTTTCCTTCCTCCAGGCGGCAATGGGACGCTTTCTTGGTCCCCGACACGTTCCCTGGCGCCTCCCGTATCCCTGATGGAATTGTGACTCCGGTAGAGCCTTCATCGGATTTATGGGCGACAGCGATCATTGACAAGGGGTAGAAACAGGAACAATAAGTACAGTACCATGTTGGTGCAAAAAATTCAGTGCTTTTCTTCACCACATTCAGCTGTGGCCTGTAGAAAGCATCCAGCGGCAAGGTGACGATTTGTAAAACTTCATTTAAGGGCAAGTGCCACAAAGAAGTGATGATCACGCTTTCTAGTGGAAGTGAAAATAGTGGCAACCAAGGCCTCCAAGAAACATTGAAGCGAACATTACGAGACGTATCTCTCTGTGAACTGTGAATTGCAATGGCGTTCTATTGTTGAGTGCGATGACACATTGTTTTGGTCCTAGGTATTTGCCTTCCAAACTAATGTAAGATCGCCGTGAACGGAAGGTTGTCAGGACCACACCTTCGTGACGAGATGATTCAGTATTATATTTTTGTATCATCATACCTATCTGCAGGTAAAGTTTTGTGAAGAGAAAAAAGTAAAACAAGAACAAAAATATTGGTGTCTATAGTGCATACCGGTATTGCAAGGATTCAACGCATAGGAGCCACTTGTAATCTTAGATGGTTTGTCCGTGTGCCTTTTTGCAGAAGTGTTCGAACTTCAAGTAAGTAGTCGAAGTTAAATTATCGAAAGAAAAAGAAAGAAAACGAATTCTCTAAAAAACAGCTGGGTTTGTTTGTTTTTGTTTTCCATTTTAATTATTCACTTAGGACTTTATAACACTTTTATTCCCAGAGCCCTCTAAGGTGACATGAAAAGTAATTCCATCTTTTGAGTCTGTGCCGGGATGAAATCCTGTGCTGTGACCTTTCAAAGCAAAATTCTTTGCTAGCACTTTCACATGGTACTATTTACTACGCAACAGGCTCTAACTTTGGATTCTGTGTAGCGTGCAAAGAAAGTAGTGTCTGATAGCCCGGGGCTAATGGATTTTGCTATCGCGCTAGTGAATTCTGTTCTTAACTTGCCCGACGGGCAAGTTAAGTGAAGTTTTAAGGAATTCAAATTACATAAGAACTGTGTTATCAATCCTGCCTATCAAACTGAAAAGGTTTTTGGGGCTAGTTGAAATGAATTTTGGGCTAGTACATACCGGCTACAGTTTGCCCGAATGGCAAACTATAAACTGACTCTATTTGCCCCCCTGCTGTGGTTTACTCGAACCTTTCGTTTGACGGTTGCTTGCGTTCCCGACCAACGCATATATATCAGGCTGTTTTGCAGTCTAAGCTCTATTGCCGGTTTTTCTGATATAATTTTACAAAGTGAGATTTAGAATTTTCTTGGAAGTTTACATGTAAGTCTAAGAAGTCTTGCTACAAATTGTTTGCAAAAGATTGGAATGATTCTTGCTGAAAACGTCTGACTTTGAATTCCTTTACAGGCAACTGATCAACTAAAATGCTTAAAAGTAATGTTTTCGAGCACTTTATTATTCCCTTTCCCATTTAACCTTACTGCGAACAAACAAGACAAATTTGATCAAAACCAGCTGTCGAACTTTTTTACACTTATTAAGTTTTGGTTTAAATCAAGTGTTTCCGAAATCAGGTGGGGGTCAGATATAAGCTTGATAACAACAAGAACAACAACTTTATTGACTTTATCTTCGACATGAAGATTTCAGTACCAAAACAATAACAAATGAAAAAAGTAAAATAAAAGTTAAGTAAGAAAGAAAGGAACAGTTGAATATTATCGTAAAAGAAAAAATTACTTGGCTATGTACGGCTTCTACGCTATTCGTGTGGTAAGAAAGTTTAATTAGAGTTCGGATGCATAACAATTTAGAATATTTTCAATATAAGAGGCACTGAGATTTAAGATGTTTTGATCGCACATAGACATTACGTATAAAAATAACAACAGCCACCTAGCAACGATTCAGCTTAAAAATAAATAATAAAGCTCTGTTTTCCAAGGTTCTCTTTGTAGAAAACTAGTCGAAATTGATCCTTGCTTTTTAACATTAACATTAGAGCCGGTTTTCTTTTTGGCGTTTTATTTTGAGACTGCGTCACTCGCTATTCATGGCAGAAGGTAAACAAGAAAAAGCCTTTTCTGTCAGTCTGTCGCTATATCGACTTCACATTTTGCAGCATTTTGTATAAGGGATTTAGTTTATTTATTCATTCATTGTTTTCTGGCGGCGATTACTGAAACAGTCGGGTTCTCATATGTTTAAGAGACCAGACAAGGGCGGACAATTATTATTGCAGCTTTATTTCAACCTAAGCCTAATCATAATAGGACAGCATTCATCTCAAAGGAAATCCTTTCATACTTTTTTTTTTAGAACTTGTATAAATAATTAGCTTAATCGTTATTTAAAAATCGGACGGCGAATTAAGTGGTTAGGTATTTAATTTAGTTATCAGTATAAGAGTGGCTGAAGATCCTCGACAGTTCTACAACCGTATTTAACTGCGCCAGTTCGTTCTATCAGGATTGAACAAGTGATGGCTTTAAAATTTAAATGTCTCCTTTGATATCGTTCGCACGCACAACCTGATTTTTTATTTCAAACTAAGATATCTGTGATATTTACTATATAGACTGGATTGGATAGTTATCGTAGTCAGACTGAACAAGTAGAAAAACTCTTACTGTTTCAGCTGTTTCTTAGATACATAACAAGTGATCGTAAAAGGGAATGGTAATACAATCGAAGAACTATAAATTCTTTTTTCTTTAAATAATGATATGATAAATGGCTGAAGAACGCGGAGTACACGTTGTATTTTAGCCGAAAGAAAACAAACTTAGTTGTAATCTGCTCGAACAGCCGCTCGCCAGTGACGCACATGTTTTGAGTTCGCTTGCTTAGTATACAATGTTCCCAGCAACGACCAGTCTAAACATTCGCTCCTTATTTTAGAACTAGGACAAAGTATCAGTTCAAATGTATCCCCATCAGTCAACTTGTCAAAACTCTCTAAATGCCTCTCGAAAACTCCAATAATTCTGATAGAATCGTTCTCCTTCACTGAAACTTTCTGCACCTTGACTTCGGTAGAGTGGATGGTCAGCGAACGAGATCGCAAACGACTCAGAGGCGAAAAGAAGTCACTGCGGTCCAAGAAAGATGAACCGTGTCCAGAAGAAAAACTTCCAAGTCTTTGCTCGTGAAATTCAACCCTCGCATTAAAATCTCGGTGGCGTTTTACAGTCGAATCGCCTTCGCCTAAATCCTTTTCTCCCTGTTCCTGAAGCGTGGTAAACAAACAGTATGTTCTTGCGAATCCTTTCTCTTCTGACTTGTAAAACTTGGGCACCAAATGAACACGAACCTCTCTGTTTAGCGGTAGAATGGTTGGTGGTATCTCGTCTGTGCCAGCTTCTGTAGCTAAGTTGTGTTTTTTCTTCGAGTCTATTGATCCCATCTGTGTTCAGTTTGCGCAACACCTCACGGCACAAGTTTCTTTGAATTCCTCAAGCTTTCGTATGCTACCACAAGAACACTCTTAATTTCGCAACCATTCCGTTACTAGCATATTTTTTGGATAAGAATTGTGGATCGTTTTAAATGCCCTAGCCACCTCATTCCGTAGACATTAACTATTTCAACCGCAACTGATATAGTGTTTAGAGTTGAATCCGCGTTAGCGAGTGTCGTTCATTGAGCAGTCAGTTCAGTGGTCTTTTGAGGTCTAATTAGCTACTAGAGCTTCAAGCGAATAAAATTCAAGGCACTCGACGTAATTTATAAATGCATTTCTTGGTCTTGCGGCAGAAAAAAAGATAATGGCTTTTTAAGCAACTTCTTGTTTAAAGGTTGCCGACCTGAAATTAAACAATTGACAAAAGATTTCGTAAACAAATAAAGGTGCTGGAGCGAAGTATAACACTATTATAATTATTATTCTATTGTGGTGATGATGACAAAGCAATATTAAATATGTTCTTCCAGTTTTCATTGTTGGGCAGAGGTGAAGTCCGGGGGGGGAGGGGGTACTCAAGAAAGTTTTGACAGAGAAGGTACCCCTTTTTTATAAACTCTATTGACAAATGGGACCAATTTCACACACTACCTAGTTTAGAACTTTACATCCCTTTCAATGCAGTATCTTTAAAATACGAATAAATCACAAAATCAGACCGTTTTCTCGACTTTTTCGTAACTATAAAATGTGTCTGTTAGCCCTTTTGAACCTTTTTACCGTCCGAAATGACAGATTTCCCTACCCTTTCATATGATTCACCTAGTGAAATCCCGCCTCCCTTTCATATACCTGAAGCCTGAAAAAGGTACCCCTTTCGGGCGGAGCCTTCCCGTATAGGCCATTATAGGGAGGACCCCCTGGGGGAGAAGTTAAAAACTGGAAGCACAGGTGGCCCAGCCAGGAGCCCATAACTCGGAGCGAGCAACTCCCATACTAGGCGTTTTTACGGACCAGTTTATTTTTAGACACATTTTAGGGCACTTTTTCCTGAATCTCCACCATGTCTATGAGCGAATTCGAAGTATAAGATATCAAAAGGGAAAACTAAACGTTATTAAAAGGCATGAAATATCATTTTTAGGTCTGTAGGTTTTGCTGACTGGTTTGTGGAATTTAAAAGATATTCAAAATTCGCGCCAAAAGCGTTCTAAAAATAAACTGGTCCGTGAAAACACCGTGATACGAGCGCGTGGAAGTTGCTCGCTTCCGCTTATGGGCACCTGGCCCAGCGTAATATGAGAATCTGTATGGGAAATAGTTTTTATGGCAATTAAAACTTACATAAATTATATGAACTAAAACGGGTTGAAGTTTTCAATAAAGTATAAATATTAGGGACTTTAAGCAACGACGACGGCGACGGCAGTACAAAAGTCGCCAAAAAGATAAATTTGCTTTCCTTCAACTTAATCGCGTCTATTTGGACCCGCTCAATATGTCAAATGCAGGCGACTTTTCCTGGAGTTGAATTCTAAAGGATTTTATTCAGGTTCAAAAAGAGGAAGGAAATTTCGTCGTCTTATGTCCATGTTCTCCTAAAAGGTCAAATTAGGAGGTTTCAAGTCGTAGTCGTGCACTGGACGTCAAAGAAATATACTAAAGGTCCTAAAGAACGTGATGCACGTGCAGAGCTATTGTTTTGATCATTAAACCTATTGTTTTTTGAAGTTGTCCTTGTGGTCGTCGTCGTAGTTCAGCACGATTTGAGCACTGTAACATGATCTGACCTCGTCAGACAATGACACAAGTTTGCATTGGGCAGGTAGAACGCGCATCATGTAAAATTTTGTCGCAAAAAGTAGAACTATACTCCATCTACTTTCTGTAACAACTTTTCGCAACCTGCAGGGGCTGATCCAGGATTTTTTTAGGAGGGGGTGCACTCTTCTCTTGCTCTACTTCAACACCAATAAACCACGTAGTTTTTTTTTGCAGAATACCAGTTGTATTAGAAAACCGCAGGTCATCTCGGGGGTGGGGGGGGCGCACCCCCTGCACCCTCCCCCTAGATCTGCCCCTGACCTGCAACAACCTGTTTATTGCAAGACAGGTTTGATGCATGCATCGGTGTTAATATGTGCAACATCCGGTTATTCAACTTGTTTTGCAGCAAAGTGCAAAACAAAGTGCACGTTTTTGAGGCCCGTTTTACCGTAACGTTTGGAGAAATGTGTCAAAATATATGATTACTAAAAAAAATAATAAGCAAGAACCAGTTTCGAATTCTGAAGGTTAATTCACAACTTTTAATAGCCTGTTTATCATCTGCCAGTTTCCCCCTGCTTACAGAGTTACAGTTGCCTTTACAGAGTAAATAAGGCACTCAAGGGTCATCCCCGCTGTAATGAATATAATTTATTCGTTTTCTTTTGTTTTATGGACTATGGTCAGGGCTAGGTTCATTGTTAAGGATGTTTTGGTTTTCTTTGTTTTACGTCAGCTGTGAGTAATAAATTATATTATACCAGAGATGAGCCACTCAAGCACTCAAGGTTGCCCGCACCCTGGCCCCAGTAGTCTCCCTCGCAGCCGTTTTTAGTATCGATACTAAAAACGGCTGCGAGGGAGACTATGGCCCCAGAGGCAGGCCGGCCGCTCCATATCTGGACAACATTTACCCGGTACATTATAATTCCCCATACATAACGTACCTACCTAAAAACCAAGATGGCGGCCGCGGAGCTTCGAGCAGCGGGATTAATCGTATTTCGCCGGAAACGCTTTACAGGACCTTTCGAATACCTTCTTCTACAAACATCTTACGGAAGACATCACTGGACACCACCTAAAGGTCATGTCGATCCCGGAGAGTCGGATATACAGACAGCTCTTCGAGAAACTGAAGAAGAATCAGGACTGAAAGAAAGCAGTTTGAACGTCGTGAAAGATGTACGAAAAACATTGAATTACGAGGTGCGAGGAAAGCCAAAGATTGTAATTTACTGGCTTGCTGAATTAAGGGATTACAATACGCCCATACAGCTCTCTCAAGAGCACCAGGAGTACAGATGGGTGTCTGTAGATTCCGCATGTCAGCTGTTACATGACACCACTGGGCAAGCATTGCGTGAAGTAGACGAGGAACTGAAGAACATAGCAAAGTTTTACACAGAGACATACTGAGAATGTTTTCATCTGAAGCTATCTATAAAGTAGCACTTTCATATGCCTTTTGAAAGTGCAAGGGGTGGGGAGGGGAAGTTACAGGTTATTTGTACTAAGGGAGTGGGGCTAANATGGCCCCAGAGGCAGGCCGGCCGCTCCATATCTGGACAACATTTACCCGGTACATTATAATTCCCCATACATAACGTACCTACCTAAAAACCAAGATGGCGGCCGCGGAGCTTCGAGCAGCGGGATTAATCGTATTTCGCCGGAAACGCTTTACAGGACCTTTCGAATACCTTCTTCTACAAACATCTTACGGAAGACATCACTGGACACCACCTAAAGGTCATGTCGATCCCGGAGAGTCGGATATACAGACAGCTCTTCGAGAAACTGAAGAAGAATCAGGACTGAAAGAAAGCAGTTTGAACGTCGTGAAAGATGTACGAAAAACATTGAATTACGAGGTGCGAGGAAAGCCAAAGATTGTAATTTACTGGCTTGCTGAATTAAGGGATTACAATACGCCCATACAGCTCTCTCAAGAGCACCAGGAGTACAGATGGGTGTCTGTAGATTCCGCATGTCAGCTGTTACATGACACCACTGGGCAAGCATTGCGTGAAGTAGACGAGGAACTGAAGAACATAGCAAAGTTTTACACAGAGACATACTGAGAATGTTTTCATCTGAAGCTATCTATAAAGTAGCACTTTCATATGCCTTTTGAAAGTGCAAGGGGTGGGGAGGGGAAGTTACAGGTTATTTGTACTAAGGGAGTGGGGCTAAGGAAAGTGGCCAGTAGCAAAACTGCATTTACAAAGTGTGGGTAAAGTACACACAGCCTTTGCAGTTTTTATATGTTGCAACAGCAAGGGGGACAAGCTTGTTTGTACAGGGTTCGTAAAGGTTTTTGGATCCAAAATCCAAGACTTTTTCCAAAACAATACTTCCTATTTCCAGACTCAAGGTTATCAAATTAGGTGGTCAATAGAGACCTTTAAAAAAACACAGGAACAAAACTTTTTTCATGATGTGCTGCAAACATACAGACGAGATTGAATAAGATTTGACTAAAACTAAAAAGATTCTACTTATAACGCACTTGCTGTAGCTTTGAAAAAAGAAATCAAGACTTTTTACTGTTTCCAGACTTTATCTCCATTTTCCAGACTTTTTCCAGGCCTGGAAAATGACGGGGCAAATTTCAAGACTTTCTAGAATTCAAGACTCTGTACAAACCCTGTTTGTATGGAGCAAATACAGTCTAACTCCACTTTATGAAAACCCAATTAAAACAGACACCTCGTTATTACAGACACTTTTCTTTGTCCCTGGGGACAAAAATCAACCCACTTAATACAGAAACCCGTTAATATGGACAATGGACACTTGTTTCTTGCCCAATCAACGGATTCTCATAGAAAGTTGACATTGCTAGGCAGACACCTCATTATCAACTGTCTGCTGTGATGGAACTTTCCTTTTTGAAAGTACAAAAACCTTCAGTTGACACAGTATTTTGATGTTCACAGTACTACAGTACACCAAATAGGATGAATGGTAGACATCAATTTCAGACTATTCTGGCATTACATGAATTATGCGCAGAACGGTTTTGACTATAACTACCGTAAAATATATAAATGAA